TAAGGTCAGATTTATTTACATGTCTATTGTATAACTGCAGTGATGAGGTCAGATTTACATGTCTATTGTATACCTGTAGTGATAAGTAAGGTCAGAGGTACATGTCTATTGTATACCTGTAGTGATAAATAAGGTCAGATTTACATGTCTATTGTATACCTGTAGTGATAAGTAAGGTCAGATGTACATGTCTATTGTATACCTGTAGTGATAAGGTCAGATTTACATGAATGTATATTGCACTTTATTGGCTGGACAGACAAGAGAATGTAGGAAGAATAGAAGACGTTTAAAGAGAATAAAAGAAAAATAGAAAAAATAGGAACAAAGTGGAAGAAGAGGTTGGGAGGTAGACAAGTACATAATATTTTCAGATTTGCCAAGGGCTGGGAGAAGCCCATCTTCGCTAGCCAAGGGTTGATCCGGTACGATCTACCTAGTAGGTTAGGGAGAAGCTGGGAGAAGCCTACTTGATATATAAATAACAATAACACTGGTTTACAAATAAAAAAAACCCAGCAAGAGTACCATATATTATAAAAAAAAAAAAATTCTCCATTCTAAATCATTTTTTTCCTTGGAAGAGTCACCCTTACCAGTTGCAATATATTTTTGAACTCTATAATTGTCTTTAATTATGTTAATTAATGAATTTATATATAAAGAATTGTGTAAACACCTCATTCTGTCTATGTACTACTTGATAATAATGATAATTTCATTATCAACCCTGTTGACAGGAGGAGGATTAAAAGAAAGCAATCCAAAGAGAAAAGATTTTTTGTTTATTGAAAAAGGAATAAGTAATGCCTGTAATAGCATTTCAAAACTTTGTAGTAAATTCTGTACTTCATTACATTCCCCCAAAATATGAGTGATACTTTCTCTTCCAGAATTATATAAAATACAAAGAGGGGAGGTAACCAGACCAATTTTTTACAAAGGAAAGAATTTGTTGTCAGGATGTGATGAACCACTTGGAATTGAAACCACTGAAGCTTTGTATTTTTTGTAGCTTTGAAAGGAATTTTGAAATTTTTGCCCACTCTGTATCAATAAGATCATCAAAGATTTGGTTCCATTTCATTTTACCAGTTGGTATTGCATTATTCCTAATCAAATCATTATAAAACATTTACGAACCTCTGGCATACTTGAAAATAGGTTGTATGATTACTGGTATAAAGTGGCAAACTATGTTAGATTTAGTTAAATCATAAGCTGAGATAAACCCCTTTATTGAAGATGTGAGGCTGTGGTACTGCAGAAAATTTGTCATTACTCAATGTTTACCATAAATGATATCGCTTTATACAGTCATTACTCAATGTTTACCATAAATGATATGAACTACGACCTCAATGGTATCATTTTGACCTGGAAACTTTTTACTAGAAATTTCGCTGGACATTACACAGTATTTCAGTTGTGGTGAGAATTACTTCAATAATATTGTTTCATTGGATGTTTTGCATTAATGTTCCCGCGTCAAGGTAAGTTTGCGCGTGCGAGAGCGTGTGAGAGTGGTACTGCACGAGAACCAGTCTGACGAAGATGGACGTTATGTCAACTGACCGTAACACCACCCGGACTATAGACGCATCAACACCCTAGGTAAGTCGTCATTATAATTACTTGGCTGTTAATAATGGCTGCTGAATGATTCACGTGCCGGAAACCCCCGTCCATGTCCGATAACCTATTCACGGAAAATATGACTATAGGTCTTGACAGGATTTCTAATATTTTTGAAAATATTTTAATGATTGGTGATCTTAATTTTGACCGCTTGCACCAGACCAAGGGGAATGTATTGTTTGACTTATGTGATATTTTTAACGTAACAAACTTGGTCAAGTCAGTCACTTGTTTTGTATAATATTGTACACCATCCCTTGTTGATGTCATTTTAACTAACAGGCCTAACGTTTGCTTTCATCATTTTAATTAACAGGTGGGGTCAGTGACTGGCATAATCTTATTGGTATTGCCATTAAAGGTCATGCCCCCTAGTTAACAAGCAAAAAGTGAATTTTAGGAGTTATAAAATCTTGGATAAGGAATCTATTAATCAAGCCATAAATATGATTCCTTTTCATGCTACATATGTTCTTGACGATACAAATGATATTTATTGGGCGCATGAGACCTTGCTCAAAGACATCATTGATAAACATGCCCCAGTTAAAGAGAAAGTGCCTAGAGCTAAGAAATTACCCTAGTTTAATAGTAAGCTAAGGCGGGTTGTTTATAAGAAAAACAGTTTTTTTAACAAGTTTAAGAAATGTAGTACATCTCAAAACTGGCTATTGTACAAAACCCAGAGAAATCTCGTTATAAAGATCAAACGAGAATCTATGAGAGTTTATTTTCTCGAACGCTGCCATGGCGGCCCAAACTCTAAAGATTTCTGACCGACTTTTAAACCTTTCCTTTCTAAAAGGTGCCTTAATAGCGGCCATACTACCATTCTGCAGGAAGGCGACAGTATCACTTCAGATCAGACTGCAGTCAGTGAGGTTTTTAATAATTATTTGACTAACGTTGCCACTGATATAGGCCAAAATCCTGAGTCTGTATCAGACCTATCTACTCATGACAGTGTCAAATCAATTTTTTCAAATCTACACATGCATCGCAGTTTCAAATTTGTACCAATTAGTTCAAACACTGTCTCAAAAACTTTAAGCAAATTAAACTTAAAATCTGCTTGAGTGGATGGCATTCCTGCTAGAATTCTAAACTCTAGTGCCTTTTCTCTATGCAACCCCCTATCAACTCTAATGAATCATTGTGTTCTTTTCCAAACTCTATCTACAAAATAATGATCCTTTAGACAAAGCCAACTATAGACCCATCAGTATACTACCAGCCATGTCTAAGGTATTTGAACGTATTTTAAATTTCAAAATATATTCAACCCCTTCCTGGCTGCCTTCAGGGCTGGATTTGGGTGCCAGTCTTCTCTGGTTGCGTCTCCTGGAGGACTGGCGAATGGCCTTGGATGATAATAATCTGGTCGATGCTATACTTATGCATCTCTCCAATGCGTTTGACTGTCTCTCTCACAATCTCTTGGTGGAGAAGCTGCGGGCCTATGGGCTTGACAGAGAGGCTGTGGGCCTCATCAGCAGCTATCTATCCAACAGAATGCAGCGGATTCGACTTGGGCCCTCGGTCAGAGACTGGAGGCAGCTTGCGAAGGGGGTACCCCAAGGGTCAATTATAGGTCCCCTTTTATTCAATATTTTTATAAATGATATTTTTCTTACTACCAAGAATGGTATTTTTATACAACTATGCCAATGATAATACTTTATCTTACACACATGAAGATCAGCATGTTTTGAAAAACGTTTTAGAAAGAGAATCCAATAAGCTAATTTCCTGGTTCGAACACAATGGTATGAAAGCCAACCCTGATAAAGTTCAGGCTATTTGTGAAGGCACCAAGGCTAATAGCAGCATCAAATCTTTTAACATCTCGGATTTTGTTATACAGTGTGTAAATCTTCTGGTTGTCATTTTTTTTTTATAATTTTTTTTTTGAAACATTTTCAGCATTTCAGAATAATCACAGTATTAATTTTCACACTCATTTTCATTCTTCAACCAACATTTAATACAAATTTTGTAATGTTTTTTTAGAGAGAGAGAGAGAGAGAGAGAGAGAGAGAGAGAGAGAGAGAGAGAGAGNTTTCTTCAGTAAAGTGGCAGGGAGTTACATTTCTCTCTTTTAATAAAAATTTAACTAACAGAGGTGAAATATACACATGTATGCTATCCTTCTTGGGTT